AATATTTTTTTAGTTGTGGATGGACACAATACTTTTATTTTTATGTGGTGCTGAGGATAGAACCCAGTGCCTTATGCATGCTAGGCAAGTGCTCTACCACTGAGCTATAACCCCAGCCCCTACTACTTTATTTTTAAATAAGAAAACCAGCTCCTGAATGCTGAGATTTAGCCTGGTACTATCACGTGGGCTTTACTGATGCTAGGAGCTAACGTAGCACCTTATTACACAAAAATAATCTCATAGAACATCAACATCAAAGAAAACCTACTCTCTGATAAGTAGTGCAAGACAAACCAAGACGACTTTGTATTCACATCTGAACACAGACAAAAATCAGAACATTGTTCAAACCACAAAGGTCAATAAACATACCCTTATTTTGGCTAATAAAGTGACTGCCTCTTTTTTATTATAGCTTTAAGCCTCACACCATTCATCTTCTAAATAAAAATTATTAAGATACCGATGGGGCTGAGGTTATGGCGCAGCAGTAGAGTGCTTGTCTCACACATGTAAGGCACTGGGTTTGATCCTAAGCACCACATAAAAATAAATAAATAAATAAAAGATATTGTGTCTATCTGCGACTAAAAAAAAAAAAAAGATACCCAGTCATAAACTTGCTGAACAACCACAAAAATGGAGGTTACCTGAAGTTCAGTTGACTAAATCCTTATTCATTTGACTAAACCCTAAAATGAAATTCTAGTATTTCTTATATATTCAATAAAAAAGGAAGACATGACAAGAATGTCCACTGCAATGCTGCTCATAATATGCTTTCTTTGTATTATAGCAAACATTAAAAAAAAGTACGTGAAGTGTCTAGCATATCATCTTTGGTGAAATCACAAGAAAAAATTGTAGTTGTATTTTTACCTATATACAGAACTTGGTAATAAAAAAAAAACTAATAAGACTGGTCATCTATATTGGAAGATGTGGGCACATAACAGAGTGGCAAGTGAACAGCATTCCCATCTTTCCCCTGAATTTTTTTTTTTTTTTATAGTTGTAGATGGACAGCATGCTTTTATTTTACTTGTTTATTTTTATGTGGTGCTCAGGATAGAACCCAGTGCTTTACATGTGCTAGGCAAATGCTCTGCCACCGAGCTATAGCCCCAGTACCTCCCCTGAATTTTTTTTGCCACAATACTTTTTGTTGGTGTTACTAGGGACTGAACCTASGGGCATTTTATCACTGAGCAACATTCCTAGCCATYTTTATTTTTATTTTGAGACAGGATCTCACTAAGTTGTTCAGGGCCTCACTAAGTTACTGAGTCTGACTTTGAACTTGTGATCCTCCTGTCTCAGCCTCCTGAGTCACTGGGATTATAGGCATGCACCACCTCGTCCAGCTCACCACAATGCTTTTCAGTGTTGCTTTAATATTTTGTAAATATTTCAACCAAGTGTATGTATTGCCTATTCAAAAAAATTAAATTATTCCTAGTAAACTATCAGAATATCATCAGAGGAATAAGAAATATTACATACCTGAAATAAGAACAGTATGCTAATGAAAATGAATATTTAGACTACAAACTAAAGTTTTTGAAAATTAAAACTTTGAATTAAATGTTGATATAACTGAAGAAAAGCTCAACAGAAGGGCTAAAGGACAAAGTTGGTAAAGTTTCCCAGAAAGGAAAACAGCCAAGGAATGGTGTAAGGGGTGGATGTAAGGGGTTGGGGGATGGTGGGGTGCAGGTATGGAGAACCAATATTTGAAAAACAGAAATCTCAACATCAGAATTGAGAAAATATTTGTGCTRGGAGAAGCAGTATGGGAAGAGATGGAGAAATGTCTTCAAATGCCATACAAAAGTGATTTCTAACCAAGAATTTTATCCACAGATGAAGGATCAATCAATATAGTGTGATGGCAAAATAAACAACAACCTCCCTTGATAGGCCACTTTCCACTGTCATACAGTTGGCCCCTAGAGACGGAGATATCACCTCTTTGATCATTCTTTTTTTTTTTTTTTAACAATTCTTTTTAAATTTTTCTTAATTTTTTAGTTGTAGATGGACACACCAACTTTATTTTATTTAGTTATGTTTTTATGTGGTGCTGAGGATCGAACCCAGTGCCTCACACATGCTAGGCAAGCACTCTACCACTGGTTACAACCCTAGCCCCCCTGTTTGCTCATTCTTGACAGATGAAGATTTGTTTCAAGAACAGCAAATTTTGGGGGTGGGGTGAGGGGCAGTGTGCTGGGGATTGAATCCAGGGCCTTGTGCAGGTGAGGCAAGCACTCTACCAACTGGGCTATATCCCCAGCCCAAGAACAGCAAATTTAAGAGTATGGCTCATTCTTATAGCCTATCTGCCTCTGCTCTGAGGCTCTGGTTAAAGATCAGAGATATTCACCCCTGGGATTAATTCCCACCCCAAGGATGCCTCCTCCGTACCTCATATGAGCTGTCATGATCCTCTGGAGMCAGAGTTGTAGGTTTCTGAGGTGAAATCCAATTAGTTGGCATGGCCACACTGGGTTGCAACTCTTGTTCTCTCAGGAGTCAAAGACTTAATGGTCCTTTGTGAATTCAAGTAGAGCTGTTGGGAAGAGGTGACCTGGAGTCTGAGGAAGATCTGGTCCAGGGGYTCCCCAGAGATACCACAAAACCTAGAAACATCAAGTCCACATAGTCAGTCATTCAACATTCACCACCTAAACAACTTCTGCAGCTAGAAACCACAGAGCAGTGGTTCTCAAACTTGAGTATCCATTCAAATCATCTGAAGGGCTTTTTAAGACACATTTAAAAATTTTCAGTCTCATCCTTGCAATTTCTAATTTAGTAGGTTTAAGGTAAGGCCCAATAATTTGCATTTCTAGCTAGTGCCCTGATTACCCTAAAACTGTTTTTTTCAGGGACCATATTGAAGAAGCAGTCCTGTGAAGGATATAAAATCAAAATGTGACAGGCATTACTGATGGTAAAATATGGGGAAAAGCATGAGATTTGGAGTCACATTCCTACAGATTTGAACTGCAGCTCTGCCATCTTTCAGCTAAGAGAATATGCAGTTACTTCAGTATTAATTTCAAAAATTAGGATGAAAATGCCTATCTAGTACTTATGAAAATGAAAGTATATAATGCTTATATAAAGTACTCAACACTTCCCTGGCATACAAAGATCATGCAATAAATACTAGCAAACTATATTATACATTAAAACAATATAAAAAATAATKTTAATCAGGACAAGTAAAACAATAAATACACCATACAATATTGACTTATATATGTGACAAAAGTGGTATTCAATTGAATGTGCACAAAACATTGTATCAATGTTCCTAATATAACAGTCCATCCACCTAGAACAAAACAAACTAGAAGACTACCACACAATTCAGTAGACAAATTCCAACTGAACTGAAATATATGTATTTTTTAAAACCCAAAGAACATTTAAATATATTTTAGGAGTATGTATTGCATAACATTGTCATGTGCTGAGTGTAACTTAGACACAGAGAAAACCCAAAAGCTATTTTTTAAAAACCCAGATTTTTCTGATTAGATGACATATACTTATTATGTTAAATATGCAATAAAAATTGAAATAGATATTTAAAGATATCAATTTTTTCACTATGTGGTAATAGGTTTCTTGTAATGTTAAAAAAAAATCTAGCAATCACTAAATAAAACCTGGACGAAGGATATGAAAATTCAAAGAAAAGGAAACAAATAGAAATTATGCATTAAAACAATTAAATATAGTTTCCTTTAAGAATTGTAAAAATTTTTTAAAAGCAATAATATCCAGTGTTGGAAAGCATTTGGAAAAATAATTTCTTCACAATTCATTGGTGGAAGCTTAAATTGCTAAAATACCTTTTGAGACATTTACTCAGAATCYATTATTAAAATACACATAAGTGTTCATAATGATATAGTTTCAAATATATTACAAAGCAGAAACTAACAAAAAGAAGAATAAGAAGACAAAACTACCTTTCTGGTGTAAGTAGTTTACCTTCTTCTGTAATTAAGCAGACAACATTTGTAAGGAGAGATAAGATGTATTCGTAAAATATATGCTGAATTTGTATATAACAATACAATTTGAGAATATATATTGTTTTATGTAACATTTTTGAAAACTGACCGTTACATAGACCATAAGATTTTTTTCAACTGAGCAGTGCCCAGAGACATAATTTGAAACAGAAAATACTCTTCTAAATAACTAATGGGTCAAAGGAAAAACAAAAAGTTAAAAAAAAAACAGATTTAAACAAAAAAGAAAATGTTACACACCAAAGGTTGTGAATATCTATATTAAAGAAGACCGGAAATTGATGAGCTGAACTCAGGTTAGAAAGCAAGCTGATCAAAGAACTCAGTGACCCCTCTACAGACTCTCAATCACCAACCACAGACTYTATCACTTGACTCCTAACTCCCAATAACTCACCTCAGCGAACCCCATCACTGACAGGAGAGACCTTCGCCACTGACAACCAAAACGGATGCCCCGCCCCCATCACTGAACCCCCAAACCATCACTAGCTCCACCCCACCGCTCACACTGCCGACTACACAGAATCCTCAATCGCGACCAACCAAAATGATCTCAAAGACTTCTAGCCATCTCCTAATAGTAGCCCCGAAATAGCCTTCGAGGACCACTTCCACTTCCGGTTTGACTTCTAAAACCTCCCCTTGGGGGAATGTTGGTTCTGCGCATGCTCCGAACTCTAGGCTGCCACTTTAAGCCAACAGTAAACGCCGCGCAGACATTCCTTTAGAGACTTTATGCRGTTACCATAGGAGGTGCGGTCCGGCGGAGAACATGGCCGCGCCCAGGGATACTTCTTTGTGTGGGCCGCCATCTGTTCGTAGAGCGTAGGAGTTGGCCCTCACCCAAGTGTCACGGTGTGAGCCTGGGACTGTCGCCTTTGTCTGAATAGGCCTCCGGGAGGAGGAAGTTACCGGATATGGGTTCTGGAACTTTACATTATACTTAGAAAAGCTAGTTGCCACGAGGGCTACAGCGAGCAGGGAATCCAGCGAGGACAAACCACTTGGAGGGATTCCTGGGAGAAACCACAGGGAAATGAGGGAGAAAACAGACGGAACGATCCGCTTTATGAAGAAACTACTCAGGGAGAAAATGGAGAGGCGAGAATGGGAATCCGCCCCTGGGTAAAACCCCCAGCAACACGGAGACAGAAATTGGGAATATGCCAAACCCCTACTGTGAGTGGTACAGCCTTTAATAGGAGAAACCACCCCGGGAACTAGGGTAGCAGTCCAGCCCGGGAGATACCACTGGAGCAGGGGGGAGAAGGCGGGGCGTCGGGTCCCGAAGTTATGATGAAGGGAGGGGAGGCTCSAATTCCCGTTAGTTTCTGTCAGCCTCCACCCAACTAAAGTAAAACTATAATAGGTAGTCGTCGTCGTCGTGGTAATCATGGCAGTTAACATAGGCAACGTTATTAAAAAACACCTAAAGAAAACGTTGCTATTTTTATTTACTTGTAAAATAAAATATAATGTGTCTTAAATAGGAAAATGAAACCTTAAGCCGTCTCTGACTCTTCGCTAGTTTCTGTATGGAAATTCTGAAGTAACACTCTCTTTATGAGGTTAGGAGTGGGGAACGGCTAAATGGTCTTCAAAACCCAGTTTAGTTATCGCTTCCCCCAGGAACGTCTATCTGGCCGTGGTGGGAAGTTCTATGCTCTATTGAAAATGTTCACTCCCAGCAAACGGGGAAAGGGTTTTGAAGGAATTGGAACTACGCCCTCATGTGGGAATGCTGAGTATTGTCAGGCCAGTTATGTACCTCTCTGGSWTTCAGTTTAAAAATAGAGCCAAAGGCTGTGTATTTAGCTCTGTGATTAAATAGTTTGTTTAGTATGAGCAAGACCTGGGTACATCCCCATGTCACAAAAAATGAGTGGGGCAGTTAGTGAGTTGAATTCTTATCCCAGGTTCTCTTTCTCCCTCCAAAAGATGGTCTAAGAAAAAAAAAATCAATGGAAGTCCCTTAGTGAACACATGTTTCTACCAAAGACTTAAGAATAACTACTGTTTTTTTTTTTTTTTGGTAATATGGTCATGTTAAAAAGAAGACTTTTGAGATTCACATGAAAATATTATGGGTGGAATGGTATTCACTTTAAAAACTCAACACTGAGCTGGGGTTGTGACTCAGTGGTAGAGCGCTTGTCTAGCATGTGCAAAGCCCTGGGTTCAATCCTCAACACCACAKAAAAATAAGTAATATAAAGGTATTGTGTCCAACTACAACTAAAAATAAATAAATATTTTAAATAGCCTGTCTCCACTATAAATTAACCAATGTAGAGTAAAATATGAACTTAAGCTAAGACCATTATATTTATATATTATAAATMTATAAATTATAAATATAACCTATATTCATTACATAAATGTAGGTTTATGACAGTATAAATTATTGATAWAACATAATCCATAGAAATAAAAATTTATTATATAATACATTTATGTAGCTTTTTTCCTGAAGGAATTCTCCAAAACRAAGTGTAAAGTAAAACAAAAGACATTCTTACAGGGCTGGGGTTGGAGCTCAGTGGTAGAGTGCTTGTTTCACACTCATGAGGCCCTAAGTTTGATCCTCAGCACCACATAAAAATATATTGTGTCGATCTACAACTGAAAAAAAAATTTTTTAAAGTCATTCTTATATTTTCTATATTCACAAGAGTTCTTATCGATGGCCCATAAAGGATGACTTGGAAGCCAAGGATTGTCTACATTCATTACAATGTTGGTGCTTTTCTTTCTCTAGTATGCATTTTCTCATGTCAAATAAGACATAAACCACGAGTATAAGTTTTCCCACATTCCTCACATTCAAAGAGTTTTGCTCTGGAATGAATTTTCTTATATCAATAAGATTTGAGTGTTAATGGAAGGTTTTCCTACAATTGTTACATTCATGTGGTCTTTCTCCAGTGTGAATTCTCTGATGTTGAATAAGAATTGAGTGGCGATGAAAGGCTTTCCCACATTTACTACATTCATAGGGTCTTTCTCCACTTTGAACTCTCTGATGTCCCTTAAAAATTGAGCTGTTTCTAAAAGCTTTTCCACACTTCTTACACTCATAGTGTTTTTCTTTAGTATGGGTTTTCTTATGTCAAATGACTGAAAGTTTTTCTACATTCCTTGCATTCATAGAGTTTCTCTCCAGTATGAACTATCTGAATTACTGAAGGCCTTTCCACATTGCTTACATTCATAAGGTTTTTCTCCAGTATAGATTCTCTGATGACGAATAAGATTTGAGGAGTGCTGGAAAGCTTTACTACACTCATTACATTCATAGRGTTTTTCTCTACTATGAATTCTCTGATATCCATTTAGCTTTGAGCAACAGCTAAAATCCTTTCCACAATCCTTACATTCATACTGTTTTTCTTCTGTGTGACTTCTCCCATGGTCAGTAAGCAATGARTGGTAACTGAAGACTTTCCCACAGTCTATGCATTCATGGGGTTTTTGCTTAATATGTTTATTTGATGTGGAGTATATGACATCTGTTGACTAAGACTCTTCATATTTTCATGGATGATGATTACAGGGTTGAAATATTCTTTCTGATTTCCCTGTTCTGTCTGAAAATGGAATATTCAAAGCTATGACTTACCGGGTTTCTGTTCTTGCGACTAAAAGGCTCAGGGGTCACTCCAGGGAAACTGGGCTAATTGGGCTGCGAAAAATAACCCCACAAGAGACACAAATACCTTTTTCTTTGGGGTCGCTGTGACGGCTCCTCTGACCTTAAGGGTCCGTAGGAAGAGAGAGAGCATGCRCTGACCCCTTTTATTGAGGAGAAGCTATTCAAATGAGGCAAGGGGTCAGGTTTCAGGGGGCTGAGTCTATCTTCATRATGTCCACTGTCAGCAGGTTGACTGACATCTAGGTAGGCCACAACTAAGGGCACAGTAAGAGAAGGGGACACACACAAGGCACTTCCATGGAACATTCTMTCCTAAACAGGGCAAGGGGTTATATTACAAAGGAATAGCTTTAGCTTCACCCATGGGGCTGTAGGAAGCCACGCCCAGGCACGAAGACACAGTCACTTGAACCCTAGAAGAGCGGGGCAGTCTAGCAGCATGGGTGCCTGAAGCCACATGGCCCAGCAGGGGAGTTAACTCAGTCATGTGCCAGTTGGTCTCCCACAATAACTTGCAWGTCTTTTCATTATATTCCACTGAGATGACTTTTATTTTATGAGCATGATCCTTTGATGAGAACTCCTTCTGTTGGGGCTGGAACTTTACATTATATGGGTTCTGGAACTTTACAGAAAAATAAGGAGAATGCAAACACATTTTTTCCAGTTCCTGGAAAATGAAATTTCTAAAATAGGAATATGAACACAATGCTTATGATAAACGAATGGTTTGGAAAGCTCTACTATAACCATGAAAGGTGAGAGTGTACAGAGAAGGTGATGTAGTGAACTTAGTGCTTCTAAAATGTTGCTATAGATCAGAATTAATGAAAAACTTGTTAAAAATACAGATGGCACTTCAGATAAAAGTATCACTTCAGATCAAATGATTAAAAATACACAGGAGTGGACCTTGACTTTAAGAAAAATCTCTAGGGTCTCTGATGCTATCTAAAGTTAGGTTGGCTTCCTTATGGAAAGGCATTTTAGTGTGGTTTATGTATGATATTAAATAAAGAATATTTAACACTTAAAAAAATAAAAAAACAAAGTTAGGTTGGCCTTTGCACTGAGAATAACTTTTGAGTAAATTATCATTGACTGAAGGGTTGGGTCACCTAGCAACGTGGTCCTACCTTTTACTGAACCCATGCTTTACACGTTCACTTAATTCCATTCTAAGAGTAAATGACATGCTTCTCTACATCAGAGAGATTACTATTGCCATCCTATCACATATTGTCTATCTGTGTATGGCAGGCTCAGTAGCATAATTTGTAATATAATACAAAAGGCACTTTAAAAATTCCTGCTTTCAAACCGTGTCAGATGACACCCACTCTTATTCTAGTGCCCAGATGGCTAATCATTACCTTTGATTTTTTTCCTCCTTGCGTATTTATTTTCTCATACTCTGTACTAGGCTGAAAGTTTTCTATTGGAAGATACTATGTCTGCTTAAATCACTATTGTTTTAATCAGCTTCTAACAAAATATTATCATAAAAAAGTGTTCAAGGGCTGGGGTTGTGGCTCAGAAGTAGAGTGCTCACCTAGCATGTGCAAGGTCATGGGTTTGATCCTCAGTACCACATAAAAATAAATAAATAAAATAAAGGTATTGTGTCCAATTACGACTAAAAAATAAATATTTAAAAAAAGGTGTTCAGTATTTTACTATTGAGTAGTAAATGATTCAGAAAAGGAATTAAAATAGGAATAGAGGAAACTTTCATGGAGTTTAAAAATTGGAAAACTAAGCCAGGTATGGTGGTGCATGCCTGTAATTCCAGTGACTCTGAAGGCTGAGGTCAGAAAATCAAAAGTTCAAACCCAGCCTCAGCAACTTACTAAGGCCCTAAGCAACTCAACAAAACCCTGTCTCTAATAAAATATAAAAATAGGCTGGGAATGTGGCTTGGTAGTTAAGCACCCCTGGGTTCAATCCCTGGTAC